TTCTGCGCCTCCTCTGGAAGAAGGCACAGTCTTGTCTATAACCTCCTGACACCCAAAGTGACCCATACTCTTGTCACACTGAGAGCCAAACCCCTGGAAGTGGGAATTCTGTGAATGAAGTTGTGGTGTTGTTGTTTTTTAATTCAATTATCAGATAAGTATGCCCCTGATTCACATTGGAACTGCCACATAAGAGGAATGGGGTGAAGACTCCCTAGATCATTTTTTCGTCCTGTACTGCTATTTGGTACGCTGGGAAAACATAAAATCATTGACATGGGTAAGCTGTACCTAAGCTGTATGTTTGCTCACTGGGGCAACACCAGCTTCTTCAGGGATGTTATCAGGTCAGAAAAATGGCACGGGGTGAAGGCATAATTACACTCCCCCTCCCCTTCTGACATGAAGCAAAATGTACGACCATGGGTCAGTCACTCCCAGTCTAATCTATCCCACCAGGCTGTTGTGAAAATAAAATGGAGCATGGAAGAAACACAGTCACCACCCTGATGTCCCAGGAGGAAGTGTGGGGTTAAAAATACAGTAAATAAAGAATAAATATATCCCTTTCCCCAATTGTGGTCTAGCAACCAGAACTGAAGTTTTAAGGAGGAGGGCATTTAACCCTTTCTCCTCATCCCATTTTCTTGCTCAAAATTACAACTGCCAATCTGCTTTTACCTTTGCTGAGTAAAGGAAAATCAAAATGAGGAAAATACTCCCTTTCCTGCCTGTATCCCTTAAAGCCACAGCTAGAACTGCACATATGGAAGCCTAAACACTCAGCCCCCATATAGGAAGGATTGCCAAAAATCTGGAGGAAAAAAATGACCTGTCCCATTAATAGAGGCGTAATGGGACATTATTTACTTCCATACTTTGAAAAGGGACCAAGTGACCATTTCTACACAGATCAGGGCCCTGCCGGATCTATTACAGTTCCTACAGTGGCCTGGATCCAAATAGACATTGGGGTACCCACTACTGAATTTTAAATAACCTGACTGACATCATAATCAGCTTGCTGACACAGTATTTTATGGCCCTACTGTTTTAAATGGTTATTTTAATAGTTGTTTTAATGGCATTTATTACGATTGATGTAAACCACCCTGAGCCCGCCCACAGGGAGGGCAGTATATAAATCAAATAAATAAATACATAAATAAATAAAGTTTCTATCAAAAGGGCAGGACATTTTTATCCGTGTTGTTAGCAACTCTAGAGACTTAGCATACCAGTGCCTGGAGACAGTTTTGAAGTGGATCAGGAATAATGAACTGGAGCTTAATCCTGACAAGATGGAAGTGCTCCTGGTGAGTGGAAGGTCTGATCCATCTGTTTTGGATGGGGTTGCATCCTTCTTGAAGGAACAGGTCCCAAGTCTGGTAGTGCTCTTGGATCCAGAGCTATTGGTAGATAAGCAGGTAGCAGATGTGGCCAAAAGGTCCATCTACTGGCTTTGATTGGTTAGTCAGCTGCAGCCTTTCCTGGGCAGAAAAGATCTGGCCACTGCAGTGCTTGTCCTGGTTACATCTAGATTAGATTACTGCAATGAACTCTATATGGAGTGGCCCTTGTAAACTGTTTGGAAACTCCCCACTTTAAAGAGCGTGTGTTCGTATTTTTAGATTAGTTACCTTAACTCATTTATGGAAAATCATGGACAGAGCTCTGGCTTTTCAAGCCCTTTCCTTAATTTGCTCCAGAACAAGTCCCCCTACATGGCTCTTGGCTGTCTGTGTGTATTTTCACGATCGATAAATATCAATACATTGTCTTTTTCTTTTCTACCAGAATAGTATTTCTTATTCAAAGTAACGGAATTGTTGCTGACCACATTGGGGCACATGCTGCACTCGCCAGGAACCACCACCAAGAAGCGCTCAGAAGGAGAAAGGGCCAAAGCTAAAGAAGAGGAAGCAGCTAAAGAAGAGGAAACTGCCACGGGTTTAACAATGACAATTACTATGTATAATTAGTATGTGTCACATGTGAATGCTGACAATCCCAGATTCATTTTGTGACTGTCCAAAACCTCAGGGACGCTAAAGTGAATGCCGAAAGTCCCCTAAATGAGACTATCCATGTTCACTGTATATCATATACAGCTGATTTATTTTATTTATTTATTAAATTGGATTTGCTAGGCTGCACTTTTGTGCAAGCAGGGCGCAGGACGGCTAGCCCTTTCTATTCTAAATTCCCCTCCGAGCTGCTTTTCTACCTATACAGAGCAAATGATGGATGTATCCATATTGTTTTCCCCTGTACAGAGAAAGAGAGCTTGCCTGGTAGTAGAAAGTGCTCAAGTCACAGACAACTTATGGCAACCCCGTAAAGAGAGCTTGCCGGGTGGTAAGAAGTGCCATCAAGTCACAGCTGACTTATGGTGAACGCATAAGGTTTTCAAGGAAAGGGACATTCAGGGGTGGTTTTCCATTACCTGACCCTGAGCAGTGACCCCGGTATTCCTTAGTGGTCTCCCACCCAAATATGTTAATCAATTAAGCCTCTATTAAAGGGGCATGACATTTTTCTTCAGGCCTATTGGGCAACCCGAGGAACACAGTACAGAGGCCTTTACAATGAACTAACAAAACCATGTGCATTCTCAAATATTCTTCCATGAAAAGGCTGACATCTTCAATTTATGGAGACAAAAGATACATATTTGAGGTGCAACTTGCTTTATCTAGAGGCATGGATACATTAGATAAAATTTAATGAGGGAACTAGGGGTTTGAAATCCTGCACATAGGTATATTCCGTTATTTATTTATTTATTTACATTACTTATTGTTTGCCTTTCTCACTTGGACTCATGGGACATTCAATAAACAATGCAATAGGATTAGGGGTGTAGAATCAATCGGAAATTTAAAAACAGAATTGGAGCAAAGCATGAGTATTAACAAGACACATTAAACGATGCAAAAATTGTACAGTAGGATCCTCATTTCAGCAAACTGTACACAGTAGTATAGATCACAATCCCTAACCAGTTATCCCAGTAACTTTGTGAATAATTTAGTACAGTGCCCCTCTACCGCTGTGTATAAAAGCATCTGTATATCCCTCTTTTATCCAAAGAGTTACCCATAAAGCTATCAGAGGCTGAGACTGAATGACTGGCCCAATGTCACTGAGCAACGGTGGTGTCAAAGTGGGGATTTGAATGTGGTTCCCCTTATCCAGGTCCAGCATTATCAGTCTGATCCAGCAAAGCAGATTCATATGCATATCAGTTTACTGGATTAAGAGCCACACACATTAAATGTGCATCTGATTGAAGATGCTGCTATTCAAACGGCATTTTTCTGACTGATGGACCATTACCCCTCACCAGTTCTCAAGACAATTTAACAAAGCATAGGATTCAAGCTAAGAGTTTAACATTTTCAGACACATCATTATCATCATCATTATCATCATCATCACCATATCAAATAGCAAACAGGTAAACTGGCTGGCCTCTGGATAATGAAAGCAGCATTCCTCTACATACTCAGAGGACTCCTCGGGAATGCAGAAAAATATAACTCTGTAAATTAACCAAAAGAATCCTCAAAAACAGGTCTGATGATGACTGAAACTGCTCTAGAAGGCATGGAATGTTGAGAGCTGATGGGCATCAGTTAAAAGGGAAAGGGGGGGTGAAAATCGGCCTCTTCAAGTTCATGAGACCTCACAGAATCCTGAAGGGGAGATTCTGGAGGGTAGGGTAAGATTTTCAAATTGTCCCCTGTGTATCCTCACAGACTTCCAGCTTGTTCTATCTAGTAGGAAATGTAATAGTTGAGTGTCTTTCAGAAGGTCAGTGAAACAGGGCCACCGTGTCCAGAATATTGGGAGGGGGAACTTCCCAAGTATACAGAAAAATATTTTTGGTAAATTAACCCTCCAAAACTGAACATACACTTTTTGATCTCTTGCAGACATAAGAACATAAGAGATGCCAATGTTGGATCAGGCCAATGGCCCATCCAGTCCAACACTCTGTCACACAGTGGCCCAAAATACCAGGTGCCATCAGGAGGTCCAGCAGTGGGGCCAGGACACTGGAAGCCCTCCAGTGTTGCCCCCCCCAAGCACCAAGAATACAGAGCATCACTTGCCCCAGAGTCCCTATCTATACCTTGCGGCTAAGGAATGTAATGCTGAGAATTTGTTTGGGGACTAGGAAAGGAAATAGGCCTAGTTAGAGTTTGTAGTACCCTAAAGGGAATGTTGTGTCCTTAATGCTAGACACCATGGGGAAAATTAGGACTGAGGACAAATCTAGCAGTTTGTCAATTTCTCACAGACCTCACATTATTTCTATAATGCCTAAAATGTACATGGTGTCATGAGCAGGTAAAGAAAGAGGTACTTTTCTCCCTTTCTCACAATACAAGAACTCGTGGGCACTCCATGAAACTGCAGAGCGGTCGGGTTAGAACGGATAAAAGGAAGTACTTCTTCACCCAAAGAGTGATTAACACATGGAATTCACTGCCACAGGAAGTGGTGGGTGCTACAAGCATGGACAGCTTCAAAAGGGAATTAGATAAGCATATGGAGCAGAGGTCCATCAGTGGCTATTAGCCACAAGGTATAGCTAGGGGCTCTGGGGCAAGTGATGCTCTGTCTTCTTGGTGCTCGGGGGGGGTCAACAGTGGGAGGGCTTCTAATGTCCTGGCCCCACTGCTGGACCTCCTGATGGCACTGGTATTTCTGGCCACTGTGTGACACAGAGTGTTGGACTGGATGGGCCTTTGGCCTGATCCAACATTGGCGTCTCTTATGTTCTTATGTTCTTATCTATGAGTAAGTGGTAACAGAATAAGGTTACTAAGGGCAATAAAAATATAAAGTGCTTTCACATGCGTATTTAATGGAGGATAATGATTTTTTAACTAATGGGTGTATAATATGATTTAGTTGTTTAAAAAAAAGTACAGCAAACATCAAAGATAATTTTAAAGAACATAATTCACATCCACCCAGAACCCACTCACCTGGGTACAACTGTTTTGTTGGGGCACTGAGCTGTGCATTTTTTGAAACCCTGTAGGCAACATCTGATCCTCTGGAATTCCTTCTGTTTATACAAAATCCGGCTGTTTTTGATATTCCTTCTGGTGAATTGTGAAACTCTAATGCTTTGAGCACGTCAACTGGCTCAGCTGAAAAATAACAGAAAGAAGAGGGGGGAAAGATTATTCACATTCATTACACAATATGCAATTTAAAAGAAATGAAATAATATATTCAGACTCTTGTGGAATGACTCCATATCATTTTTTTAAAAATTAATACAAGAAGCTCTGATGGTACAAATCGCATTAACAGTTTCCCCACTGGGCTATGTCAGAGACAGTCATGAGCCCTTCCTTGTGATAAGGTCTGTCAGAGGCCAGAACCTCATCATGTTTGGCATAAGGCAAAACTGGTCTCAGTCATGAAAGAACTCAAATCAGCAGGTTTGATATTGGGGTCTGCATTTAGCACAGCCACTAATTGTATTTAAGCTTCTCTGTCTTCTATTGCAACTGAAATACAGATACACAGGGAAGATTTAGCAGACACAAGGTAGCAGGAAATCTAACTTGGGGTATGAATATGCAGCAGTTTGTGTGCACATTCTCAGCCAATGAAGCAGGGCTGGATGAAAGAAAATTC